GTGGTCTTAGGAACCAACCTCAGAATTTGCAGGAACTTGGCGCTGCCTTGCAAGAGCAATGGCGCAGAATCCCCAACCACGTGTTCACAAGCATCAGGCAGTCGATGAGGAGACGGTGTTTGGCAGTGGTGAATGCGCGGGGCGGCCATAGACGATATTGAACTGAGTAATTTCGAATTTTTATTCTTGTGACTTGACATTCTGTATACCCATGTTTTGGAACGGCGGTGTAGCCTAATGGAACTTATTATGGCACTGTCAGTGTATCGAGTACATCACACAGTTCTCAGCGATGAAATAATAACAATTTAACCATCTTACCATCTCTTGTTCTTTTATAGTGCCCTGAAGAAAGAATGTGAAGTTTCTTTTTTGACTCAGTATATATCCTCTATTTCCTCCATTGTCATGAAGAGCAGTACACAAAATGAACAACAAAATACAGAACAGTCTTAAGTTTTCGGAGGTAACCGACATAATAGGGCTGTCTAGACTAACGCTTAGTCTCTGAATATATATAATTTTGATAGTAACAAACAAGCCCATTTAAATTGAACAGGAACCCCCAGGGAGACCAGAGATTCAGAACCTAGACTTGCTTTAGCACTGCAGATAGGGCTTGGCAGTAGGGGGAATAATGTGGTTCAGGGACTGTGAGACAGACGTCTGCACGTTCATGTTTGGATGTATTGATATAAAATTGTCTTTGTCACTGTTGTGACATCCGAGATAAAGGAACATATTGACCAATGACAATCTTTTTCTGTTCCCGAGTCATTCAGAAGAGAGGCCAGAAGTTTGTTCAAAGCAGTGGGTAGTGCTAATGCGAGGGTTATATATCCTAAGCATGTCCTACTTGACTATATTGATTTTTCCATCACAAGGGATAACTATTTCCAACTTTCATCAATGAAGGATCTTTTTAATGTAAGTTCGTTTTTAATTATTGTTGTTGTTTTTTTAAAGAAATTGATTTTTACACTAATTTGGATTGATATGTTTTCTAGATAGCAACAGATTTCAATTGGTAGAAACATTAATAACTAATATTGTTTGTATCTGTACCCTTGAGGGGTGTTGAAGTACTGTAAATTATTTTCCCTCTGATGATGTACAGTAAGTCCATATCATTCAAGGTACATTTAATCTGCCACTGGTTTTAGACGTAGAAAATTGCCAGCGACATAAGGAATGGTGTAAATCCAGCTACTGTCCATGCAGGTAGCAAAAGTACTGTAAGTCCCAATGGTCCCTAGTATGGTGATCAACCTTAAGTTGTTGGCGATCTAAAGCCATTTTTATATATTGTGTTGTTCTGTACAAATATTGTTTTATGGTTAAATGCTTGTTTAAATTTACATCTGTGACAATCTGTGTATCAATCACTCACTCACTGTATATCCTAATTAAGCATCCTGGCAGTCACTTAGACAAATGCAGCTCACACTCTTCCACTTTGGAATGACTGAAATGTTCACACAGACTAATACAACGGTAGCAATTCCAACTCAATTAGTTGAAGTCCTGGAAATTCCAGATCAATTCTGTCCCCAACCCCCACCCCCGAACTAATGGAACGTGCTTTACGCCACTGATGTATGCCAGAACTGTTCCAGTTACATCATGACGATCTATGAGTGAGGCGATCTGGCTGTGGACCAGACAACCACCTCCGTGGTGTAATGGTTACATCGTCCGCCCGGAGAGCGGCAGATCGCGGGTTCGATCCCCGCTCGCGTCATACCAAAAGTCGTTAAAATATGGTACTTGTTGGTCCCTGCCTGGCGCTCGACATTAATGGGTACAACAAGGACTGGTCGGCTCGGAGTCAGTACAATGTGTCTGAGTGGAGTCTTCATGCTTAACAGCGGCATGGTATCTTTTTTAAGCATATTTGTATTTCATAAAAACTAAAATCTGAATAGGCGAACAAGCCAAGTGGCTTATATGAATGCCGCTCCTGTACATTATTCCAATAGCTTGGTACATAAATTAAATAATTTAACAACAAAAGAATAATACTGAGGAAGAATATTGAGTGAACGTCATACATTATATCTAATATAATGTATGACTATTGAATATGTTCGTAGTGTGTTGGTTATGCCAAGCAACGAAATGAGCTGCAGCAGAAAATCCAATTATATGTATCTGTACTTTGAATATATATGTAGTGGTGATAATCACTGGAAGCGGTTACTTTTAGAAATGAACTGGTGTAATAAGTTGAGAATGTTAATAGTTGAGTTATTCAATGCGTCGTTACCGTATAGAGTAAACATCCTTGAATATAAAAATACATAGTTGTTCTTAAATTTTGATAGTTCTGATATGTGTAAAGATAGTGAATAACGTCTTGGTTATAATGACCACATGAACACTTGGATGTTTCCGATATATGTCTATTATATATGTCAGCGTTTAGATCACTACAGCCGAGTCTGAGGCGAGAATTGATGATTTGGCAAATCTAGTCCAAAAATTCAAATCAAAGTAATTGTGAGTTTCTGTTGGGTTTCTAATGGTTTTAAACTGATTCAGGGAAATAGCGTTAACAACTTCATCGGGCAATAAATTCCACGACATAATCGCGCTCGGTAAAATGATTGAGCATATCGTTTGCGTTCTACAGTTAATAGCTTGAATGGAAGTACCATCTCTAGGATAATAGTTGCTTTGTTCAAATACTCTACCTGGTACAAGATCGTTCAGATAGTCAGGAGTCAGACGATGATACATTTTATATAAAGTTATGAGTTTAGAGCGATATCGTCTTTCTTTCAGTGTGCTATAATTGGTTCCCCTGTATATTTTATCAACTGGTGCCACGAACCGCACCGCTTATAGTTCTTAATGCGTCTATGTAATTCTTCCAGTAAAATCACTGTTCAATCGTACAGTTATGCCATATATGACAGAAGTATTCAAAAAGTGGTAAAATAAAGGAATTATATAAATGGTGTCTCAGTAAACTAGCACTATATAACCAGCTTAAATCTGGGTTAGTACAAGCAGCCACACATACACACGCATGCACGTCGTCATATGAGCGAAATATTCTTAAGTGCAACGTTACACCCCATTTCACCTCATCCCACCTGTCGACCAGACAATCCAGTGACTGACATTATGAGCATCGGTCGGTGCGTCAGGATTCGATGGCATTCGCTAAACTAAGTCAGCGAGCTTGACCACCCGATCCCGGTAGTAAAAGAGACTCTTTTCGAAATACGCCCCAGCGGATGAGGTGAGGATGTGGTGTGGGAAGAGATTGTAATATGACTGTCAGCCATCTTGAGCCTCATCGGCAGCTTGTGGGGTTTATTCCCTCGTGAGCTGAGTGTGAAAAGAACAGACACCGATTCACTGACAAGATAAATAACAGTGTGAATCGCCGCCCAGCTGTTGTCCAGGTTAGAATTTAATGAAAAATAATAAGTTACTTTAATTCTTGTTTTTATTATTACCATCATCATCATCATTATGATTAATACCCAATTTGATATTATTTATATATTAATATTGAAAGTAAATGCAGTGGTGATTGTTCCGGTGATCCTGGTACTGTCAGGCTGGCGCATCACCACGCCAGGGACCTCGCCATTCTGCCAGGAACGTCCATCCAGTCCATCTAGTCCAACCCTCCAAGAACGTGATGGCTCGCCAACACGGCACAGTCTGGCTGGCGCATCACCAATTCAGGCAACCCAGACAGCGAATGAGCATTCTCTAGGAAAATCTACCCAGTCCAACCCTCCAACATCCTCGATAATCTCCAGGGTATACGTTTCGATCACTCTCCACTACACCCTGGATGCATACACGGTTTGGTCCGATGATTTTATTACCTCCCTTGGCTGTCTTTTTATTCAATCAGGTGTCTACGCTGGGAAGTTTAGCGAACCAATCACAAGTCACTTTCGCTTCTTAAATTACCTAACCATTTAAACTTGGCAACACAGTTGATGCAGAGGTACTCTGAAAGATGCAGAAGGAGTTCTTTTTATATATTTTGAAAGTTTCAAATCTGTCAATTTGTCTGTATTATTTCCCAAAAGATCTGAGTGGTTCCTACCAACAAACCTTCGCGACTGCGACCGCTGTCTTTGTTGATACTGGCAAGCTCGGATGTAACGGCGGTTTAGCTGATTGGCTACTGTGAGAATGCAGAGCCAGCAAAGGGAGGTAATATAATTATCGGGCCAATCCGTGGATACATCCAGGGTATAGTGGAGAGTGATTCGTAGCGTATACCTTTGAGATTATCGAGGATGACCCCCCCAAGAACGTTCAGGAGAACGTGAAGACTCGCCAACACAACAGAATACTGCATTACCTATCGAGTTAGAAGAGCGATGTTCCCGGCAGCAGATCAGTTCAGTGATCTAAGTATTGTTTCATCTACTGAGCGATATCAGTTCGTGAAATCAAGAAAGGTTCACTTAAAGGTCACATGCACATAAACTTAACACCAATCAGGCTATACACCATAAACAAAACGCATTGATTTATGGCCCGAGTTCGGTCTATGTCACATTATGTAATTACACAGACAGGCAGGTGTGATACTTGAACACATGACATGTTATGGTGTCTGTTGATTGCAAAATGTTATACACAAAAAATGAGCATGTATTTACAAAACCCAACATCTCTATATATACACACACAATTAGCCGTGAGGGCATCTGCAAATGAACCAGCCGTTACACTTGAGTGCACACCCACCCGCTCTGACTGGGTTCGGTATCCCGGCTGCTTCGTTTCTTGGGAAGTAAACCCAAGTACACAATATTGCACTTTTGATTTGCGATTGTACGCTTATAATTTTGTTTATATGTTTTTTTCATAACCAGCAATGTATATTATATGTCATGAATAAGTGATAATTGTGTTTTAATTATGTTTGATTTTTGGGTTGCATGTGACCTTTAAGAAAAAGATATCTTACGAATAATAATAATATTAACCTGGTTCGATTGCCCACATGGGTACAGTATGTGAAGCCCATTTCTAGAGTCCCCGGTGTGATACTTCTGGAATATTGCTAGGAGTGGCGTACAGCCATTCTCACCCACTATCGACATATTTGCAGACGCATGAGAAATTGTACTGGTGAAGGTAGTACACTTGTGTATTTGGACTCCTTCTTTCCCTTGTATCAATATTATGTAGTTACACTTCCACAGAATAGTATGGTGCCTTGTGCAGCTGCGATTGGATTCTGCTTTCACCCTTTAGTCTTGGGTAGTCGGCTCTTGTATGCCACACCAGTACCTTTAACGAACACAAATTGCTATAACTGGTAAAAAATGTCATGGTTACCCTAAAAAATTAGCATTCGCACATGTTCAAACGCCCGTGCACACTCAAAGCTGTCCTTTGTTTGGCCTGTACAGTTATATCCTTTCGGTGAATTTATAACAGATTCTCATCGATCAACATATTCACAAATATGAAGTGAATTGGCGAAGGAAACGTCGCCTTCCAAAAGCGAATGAAAGATTTTGTTCTTACATTATGGTGTTTTTATTATGATTGTATCGTTTTGTTAACATGTTTTTTCAATCCAAATTGACAGCTATTACCAACATCAGTGTGTTTTCTGATGAAAAAGCATATCGACCAAACGCACCTAAAAGGGCAGGCGTGGTAAAAGGTTCCGTATGACATTCGTGAAAATGAAAATGCACGTGCATATCGTGACAACCCTACCAATGAAAGCGAGTCCTAAAATCGCCTGAAATCAGTTTTGTTTTGACACGATCGCCATGGAACGACTTACGAGAGATCAGAGGAACCAAGTCTTGGAACGATTGCAAGTTAGCCAAACAGAGGGTAGCCAATCATTTTAATGTTCATGTTTAAATAGGACAATCTACCGACTGCGGGAGTGGTATCAGGCCACTAGCAGCATCCAAGGCCGTCCACGCAGTAGGCTACTTTCAGTAACATTACAACGTCAAGACCGACAGATTGTGCGCCACCATCTACAGGATCGCTTCCCCAGAGCGACGGAAACAGCACGTCAGACCATAGGGACTACAGACCAATCAGTGCCGATACCGTGCGTCGGCGTTTGCGCGGAAAAAACCTCTGCTGCCGCAGACCATATCGTAGTCCTGTCCTCACCGCCAATACCGACTGCAATGGGCAACTCGGCATCGAAATTGTTTAGATGTGGTATTTTACCCTTGTTCATTTAAGCCGGCAGATATGCCAAGTCACCTGTTCCTCTTTTACAAAGACATTGTGAATATTGTATTATAACTGATAATGATTCCCATGTACATATAGTTGAGGATGATTTCATTTTTTTAATGAAATGTAATTTTTATGAGTAAATACGGTTTGTCCTATTTGAAGCTGCCTTTAAACGCAACCATCTGTTTTATAACTTAAATTATACCAACAAGTTTATATTTCTTATGAAAGAAAAATAATTGCAAAATATTTTACCTCTTCACTTCTAAATATGTTTAAAAGACGGAAAATGTCATTGACATGACTTATGTGCATCTTATATTCATATATTTATTACCGCATATATGTTTTTAGTTTCTCATAAGCCAGGTTGTGGCTCGACGTTTTTACTGTTGAATAATGTATTGTCTGTAAATTGTACTTGTTCGTGTGACACTTTAATAAAAATATTCTACTACTTATATGTTTCTGGCTAGAGTTTGAACACACCTTTGTGGCGTTATCAGCCAGAGGTTCAAGGACGTCCAATGTTAGGTGCAGTGCCAACAGGATAGTGGATTCCTGATACCCGTTTTGGACGTTGTAGTTGGAGAACTGAGCTTCTGGATATTGGAAGAACAGCTTAAGGTTGATTGCAAAGCCAGCCATGTCAATTGCAAATGGCCTTTCTGGATTCCATCCTGTGAACCAACCTGTCACCTGGAACAGGTATTAGGAGAGACGTTTATTCAGAGTTTCCAGGCCACGGCCCCTAAGAACATAACATAAATACAGATGCATAGATTAGTCAGCTACAAATTCCAACTTATTAACAAAAACAATAATGTTAAAACACAGAACATCACATAACGACATTAGATGTTTCATAGCATGAAATAAATATTTTGAAAGTTGAACCACAGTACGTTTACATATGGTGCACATAGGAATTAAAAACTTATTAAACGAATAGGTTTTGATTTTCAGTTATGGCAGCTGCAGCGAAATCTGACAAATGTTTTCAAAAATGATTGAAAAGCGCTGAATGTTGAAAGCGCTCTATGTCTAATATTTTAGCTTCTGTAAAATATTATCAAATGTAATTGGTATTTGGTAATTTGGTTTCTGGCCTAAATGCTGCACGCTTAGGGCAAAGCTCCAATTCCTGTTACTTTCTAAAAGAAAATTCAGTATTTTTTGCTCCCATTTAAAGCTATAAATTGTTCCAGCACATCTTGAAGAGACGAAATGTATCCATTTATCTATTGCAAAAAATCGATTGCAGTGATTCACTCGTGAATAAAATGTTAAACACTGCATACCAACCATGTTTACGAGAAACCAAACAAACCGTATGTAATATCTATAGTGTCACGATACGGTTCACCTGTACATTCAAACGCGGATAATTGAAACAGAACGCGTAGCCATGGCAACAACAAACATAAACTCTTTGTGATTAGAGAATACTTCCTAAAGAATACTTCAGTGAGGCTGAATGGTCTATGGATTTCATTTCAAGAGCGCCGATGATAAACTAAATGCAAATAAAGAATGTCGTTTTATGGTCTTGGACATCTTTTTACATCAATGTGCTTTACTCAGAGTAGACTATTTTCCAAATTCGTCATAGAATTCTGATGAAGTGAAACGGCTCACTTAACCAATATACCAACAATAAGGTGTTGGTTGTAAATGATCAAGTTAGGACCAGATAATCCGGTGACTAAACTCATGAGACAATCGGAATACGATGACATCCATCAACCTCGTCAGCGAGCCTGACCACCCAATCCCATGAGTCGCCTCTTACGACAAGCATAGGTTGCTGAAGGTCAATTCACTCACGGTTCTTCGTGGGTATCTGATTAATGCGAATATCAAGTTTGAATTCTCGAATGACCTTTCCTTGTTTGACCACGGGTCCAGCATATCTGAGGCCTCCTGTAAACCCAACCGGCCAAACGGAAACCCGTTTTGTTCTCCGCATCTGAAATAAAGCATCCAGGGACTATTCTGAGAAGCATCTTACGAACTCATAATGAAAAGTAATTATGAAATATATGCAAATTTCTTTCCATCGTAATGTCTGTCAATATGACATGATTAGTTTATCCATACATAATTGCTGGATATGTTTCAAGCCATAGTCTCAAATACGATATATTTCTGAAAAATATCCCTATGTTTTGTATGTATTTGTAAACTTATGGTAATAAAGTTGATTGATTGATACAGCAACAATAGGCAAGGAGTGAGAGAGTGGGTTCCGTTTTACGCCGCCTTAAGCAATATTACAGCAATATCACGGCAGGGAACACCAGAAATGGGCTTCACACATTGTACCCCTGTGTGGTCTTCGGCGTGACAAACGTACGCTTTAAACACTAGGCTACCCAACGGCCCTAGGCAAGGAATGTGCGGAATATTGGGTACAAGGTTGTAGCGCTAACATTCCCTTTATCAGGTGAATTATAGTCTTAACTAATAAGATAATCATCACAAGAAACACAATTCCAAACCTATCCCAAGTAATAACTAGTTCCTCAGTAATGGTTTTGGCCTCTTGCAATTTGCATCGGCGGTTAGTTTACATATCTGCGTCTTAAATTTCATCAAGAGTCAAGTTGATGAATGGATCCCTATGTTCTAAAAACATATTGCCCCTTTATATATAATTTTATATGAAACACATATGAATTATTATACTCTTATTTTAAATGAATGTTTAAGTCTTACATACTTCTTTTATGAAGCTATTGCTAAGTTGTTATAAAAAAATGTTTGACACAAATGTTTTTACAAATTTTTCACATAATTTTAAATTGAACAACTATTATATTTACACAACCATATTTGTTTGGTTTAATACATGGTAAACGATATATAATGGTGGATTCACCTCAGCAAAAATCCGTAAGTCGTAAGTGTTATCATCATCAGCAAAATATACAACTCCGTGATGTATGTCTGGATCTAAATGTCGCCGTATCCATGACAACCCTTCATTCCTCTGCGATACTCCCCTTGGTTTTGAACTATGAGAATCCGTTGGTTTCAATTTAACATCCTCCGGTGTTAAAGCATATAGGTGTGTATAGGAGAGCCCGCTGGATCTCAAAAGGTCTGTCGCACGTTTAGTTCTATTTGGAGCGTCTTCCACAAGTATCCAGTGAAAATTGGGCAGGTGAAGCAATGTCTGTGACAACCTGGTTAGTTCGGCCTTCTGTTGAAGCCGAGCATAGGTTGGTGTTATGGCATATACCATTGGCATAGATGGATCAAATATCTGTAGACCGGTTCCTTGATCAGTATGCACGGTCAAATGACTATCAGTATGTTCTCTCACTCCGAGTACGGCGTGTTTTTGGTTGCTTGTACATGGACACCTAAATTCTGAAAAAGAACAGCGCTTTAGAAATGTTTGAAAATGACGAGATATGTAAGAGTACACTACTGCTTAAAAGTTCATTTCCCTTACACGCGTGGGCAACCCGTGACGCAATCCGTGTGAGTCTCGTCGGTCACTCGTGCGCAACCTGTGACACGCAATTCGAAGGGGAACAAACCTTTGACCAAAGGAGGACCCATGTTAACCTGAAATTGGACGTCGTAACACAGAGATCAATTTTAAATTTCTCATGAATTTCTAAATCATGTTATGCAATGTACTTGCTGACGCCTTTTTAGATGTGATCTTGCATGAAAATAAGAGTGATGTGATCAATCAGACCCATCTTATATATATATGTTACAGGGAATGTGTGAAACCAGGGATTTCACGTAATCCCTAAAAGAGTCAGTGATTTCATGAAATCCCTGTGACCCCCCAGGGATTTCATGAATTCCCTCAAATTTCAAGGGATTTCATGAAATTACTGATTTTCATGGTGTTCCATTACACACATTCCCTGTTAGGATATCAGTGAATGTGTGAAATTAATGTTTGTAGCTTAAAACTTTACTGTTGAGTCTCATTTCATCCCTTAGGTCTTAGGAATTGAAAACTGTGACAATTTACCGAGGACACTTTTGGCTAATTACTACCTTGAGTCGGGGTACCAAGTTAATTTTCTCACGGCTTTACTGTTTAGTCTGATTTCATCCCTTAGGTCTTAGGAGTTGAAAACTTTGACTATTTACTGATGACACTAAGTCAAGCTAAGAGAGGGAAATCACCGGGTTTTCGATAATATTCCAGTTGATGTTTTGACAAATGACATCTGTATAGATTCTCTTCATAAACTGTTTTCTACATGTTATGAGACTTGTCATGTACCCTCCAACTCGGCCCAGGGGATCATTACCCCTACCCCTAAGTCTGGAGCGGACAACCCGAGAGACCCAAAGTCTTATCGCGGCATCCCTGGCAATCCGATCGAACCCGCGACCTTCCGCTCACCCACATATTCGTAAGCCATGGTTCAATAATGAATGTAAACTGACCAGAATGTGTAGGAAGAAAGCCGAAAAGTATTTTCGGCGACATCCTACAGTCCATACTTTAGATAAAGTTAAAATTTTAAATGCCAAGGCTCGACGCGCATTTAAACAGAGTCAGTGTGTGTCTTGGCGAAATTATGTTTCCAAGATAAATTCCGATGTCAAAGGTGTGGAACATGATACAAAGGATAAAGGGCAAAGGTTCTAAATCTACCGTCCACCATCTGAAGGATGAGGACAATTTATTGACGGATGAGGCTGACATTGCCGATAAGCTTGGTGAATCTCTCCAAGAATTCGTCTTCATCAAATTATGCCCCAGAGTTTAAGAAATACCAGAAACAACTGGATAAGAAAAGAAATAATTTCAACTTCAATCTCAACTTCAATATACACTATCAGCTCTTGAAGCATTTGCCTGAATCATGTTTGGAAACATTTCTAATATATTGATACAATACGGATTTCAGAGAATTTCCCAGCTTCTTGGCACAATGCCATTGTAGTCCCTATTCCAAAGCCGGATTGTGATCATGCAGATCCATCGAATCACAGACCCATATCTCTCACCAGCTGTGTCTGTAAAACTATGGAACGAATGCTAAACTATAAATTGATATGATTTAATTACTAATATACAATGTGGTTTCCGGAAAACATCGTAGTACTAATGATCAACTAGTACAATTGGAATCCTTTGTCAAAATGCTATTGTAACTAAACAACAATTTTCATCGATCTGAAGAAAGCCTATGATACTACGTCGAATCACGGCATTTTGATGGATTTACATGATTTTGGTTTGACATTATATTACAGTCGTTAACAGACAGGCAATTTCAAGTCCGCGTGGGTTCTACCCTGTCTGATCATTACAGTCAGGTTCAGGGTGTTCCACAAAGCAGTATTTTGTCTGTCACATTATTTGTATAAAACGGTTATAAGTGCTTCGGTCGATAGATCCATTTTGTGGACGATTTTGACGTTTCTTGTCGAGTTAAAAATATGCAAATATACAATAGAGAGGCAGTTATAATTATGTCTTAATAAAATTCATAAACGGTCAATTGAAAACGGTTTTAAATTGTCTAAATCTAAAACTAAATGTATACATTTCCTTAGAAAATATAAACCGCATAAAGATCCAGAACTATTGCACACCCATCAAAGTTGTAAAGGAGGCCAAGTTTCTGGGTCTTATTTTCGACTCATCTTTTTACCGCATATCAAATACCTCAAAGATAAATGCCTGAAGTACTCAACAAATCTGTGACACCACCTCTGATCCCATATTCCGATTACAACGCCGTCATTAGATCTTATATTCGTGATCTGGATAGGTATCAATGAGTTAAATAAAGCTAACTTTTGTTTACACCTACTTGGGTTGTCAATCCAGATTTGAAGAGGTCATTTTGCGGCCATACCATAGTCATATTAGATACACTCATGAATATGTGTTAAAGGTGAAGATCCTCCGTTTTGCATCCCTTGTGATGAAAGAATTACGGTCAAGAATGTTCTGCTTGACTGTATTGATTTATCACAAGGGATATTTATTTATGTGTAAAACAATTAAGAATCTTTTTAATAGTATGTAAATAATCAATTTAACTTGCTTCCAAAACGAATTACTGTTATGAAGCAACTTGTCTGGGATATTTAACTGTTCTTTTTTTATAAGAAGTAAACTCTAGTAATTGACTTATATCTATTACGAAGCTGCTTAAATAATAATAAAGAATGATATTATAAGGACCCTTACAGTCTCCTTACCTGTGCTGTCTAAGTGTTCGCCGGACCTCTAGCTTACTAGAGCGGCATTCTGTATCATACCATTTCCCAGTGAAGTGGCACTCAATCATCTTAGCATTCCACTTAAATATAGAGGAAGCGTGTAGCAGGGCACGTGAAAATATAGCTATACAAGTACCAATACTGCTGTATAACAAGTCAGTACAATTCCCTAGATAGCATTCAGACGTTCGCCCAACCTTGGCAATGTTGGGAAAACCATTGCCAACGTCTGAATGCTATCTGGGTCGTTAGTAATCTATTAAGGAAATCCACGCACCGGCTCTCGTCCCATACATAACGTTCATGACGTTTAGAAACTGACTGTTCAGGTTGCCTTGATCATGCTGGTAATGTCATTGACAGAGAAAGATGGTTTGAATCGGCTCTGCTGTGGACTTAAAATGTTTTATAACATGAAAAACGGGTTGTAGATATGAGACAGTAATCTCTCAAGCTTGCGCCATTGTGACAAAAGAATGACTGTATATTCCCCAACGTTACTATCGTCACCACCACGACCATTCATAATATGGATATCTAATAAAACACACAAGTCAATGAGGCTTTGGCCAAATCTGTTTGAGTTACAGTATTTCTGAGAAACAGTAGCACGGCATGTTGACAAGAAATCCTATTCGGTCGAACGAGGGACCACATTGTGCAGAATTGCAAGTCTGACACTGAGAAGTATGGACATAGGTTTAAAACTTACTACAATAGGGGGTTGATGCGCTACATCCCGATATCAAATTTTCAAGATTAGACTCATAGTGACGAAAAACATTATGTACCAAAGCCTATTCGTCTCCCCTCGCCACCATCTTTGACGATTTGTATGCCGTTTCGGGATGCTATGACTGCCGTGTTGGGATGCTATAACTGCCGTTTTGTACGCTCGGCGACCGTTCTCGCGCGCTCTTGTAGCTGATACGCGAGTTTTGTTCCCATTTCAAACGATTAGTCTTCCATTACGGATGAATTGTTTCGGTTTTAGAGGATATTGTCGCAGTTTTGGAAGTTCATTTTCCTATTTTGGTCATTTTTGTTCTGTTATGGTGTATATGAGTTCAGTTTTGATTATTTGTTCACCGTTTGTATGGTAGGCCTGATAATGCATAACGCTCTCAAACAACTAGAAGAACCTATTGCATGTTGTGGGCGAATATTTAAGGGCGGAGCCATAGTTCTTTCTTCTGTTCTCGTGAAGGACGATGGATAATGATAAACATCTGAGTAACAAAAGACAAACTCACCAACTTTTAAGATAATCCACACAGTTCCAAGCAACAGGATCCCTGATAAAAGATGCTTATGTTTTCCTGGAAGGATCGTAAACATCATCAACAGTGGGCTCCACAGTTCATGTGGTGCACAAATTACAATCTGTTACCACCATTATAGCTGGAATCGATCGACAATATTAATATTAAAAGTATTCTTATCATCTTTGTGTCTGACTCAAGTGCATTGTGCCATGGTGGCCAGATTGTGCGCTTGGTGGCATGGTGGACAAGTGAAGTGATTTGATGGCGTAGTGGGAAAGTGAAGTGATTTGATGGCATGGTGGGCAAGTGAAGTGCTTTGGTGGCATGTTGGACAAGTTAAGTGCTTTGATGGCATGGTGGGAAAGTGAAGTGATTTGATGGCGTAGTGGGAAAGTGAAGTGCTTTGATGGCATGGTGGGCAAGTGAAGTGATTTGATGGCACGGTGGGCAAGTGAAGTGATTTGATGGCATGGTGGGAAAGTGAAGTGATTTGATGGCATGGTGGGCAAGTGAAGTGCTTTGGTGGCATGGTGGACAAGTGAAGTGATTTGATGGCATGGTGGGAAAGTGAAGTGATTTGATGGCATGTTGGGCAAGTGAAGTGATTTGATGGCATGGTGGACAAGTGAAGTGATTTGATGGCGTAGTGGGAAAGTGAAGTGATTTGATGGCATGGTGGGCAAGTGAAGTGCTTTGGTGGCATGTTGGGCAAGTAAAGTGCTTTGATGGCATGATGGGCAAGTGAAGTGCTTTGGTGGCATGATGGGCAAGTGAAGTGCTTTGATAGGATATGCAAGGTACCCAGATAATGTGCTTTGCTGGTTTGATGGCCGAGTGAAGCAGTTTTATGGTGCTTCCAGTTTGTAATTTGCAATAAATGT